GAGTGGAAAAAAAAGATCGTGATTTATATTTTATACAGAATCCTGCAGGCCTGCTACTCTTAACTTACACGAGGGGAACAAATAAAAATCTTAACGTTAGCCAATATTAAACTACAAATCTAAATGCCAAGGGTAGTCACAATGCATACAGGCCTACAGCTGCAGGCGCCCATGTTGTGTTAAATATGTTTCTCAACACCTTTCCACAAATTCGCCCTGTTTTATCCCACCGTTAACAACAAAATTTATCAGGTCATAAAATTAAAAGCGGGAGAAAAAAAGGCATACCTTTTTCTTGGTCCAACAGCAAAGAAATCCGCACGAAAAGTTTATTTTGTGATGCGCCATGTATTTTGCTTCTTCTTGCAAATTGATTCACAAGAAGTAAGTGAATTTCGAACGTAAATAAAGTTAAATGTAATCGCGCTGGATCGCGCTCTCTGATTGGTCGATTCAGCATAACAGGTGTTTCTATCATAACTACTGTAGTCTTAAGGTCCGCGAAGAAATAAAACCCAAAATGAATATTTAAATGGCTGACTATATATGCTGCGAGTAAAAATATGCATTAACTACTGGTTCAGACGCCCAGGCACAACAAAGATTATGGAAAAATATATTTTTTATATGATTAATATGTAAATTATATTTTTATTATACACTAAGACCATTAAAATGAGGAGGGTGTTTTGTGACAAGTTTCGATAAATAAGGGTCATCTAAATTCATTTTTTTAAATTACAATTTGATTATTTCTATTATTATTAAATTGCTATTTAAATGACCTTTTAAATCACCCAAGCCCAGCCATGAAAATATTCTGTCAGTCACCCATGAAACACGGTGGGCGGCTTTAAACAAAACCAAACTTATGATTGGTTATATTGCAAACTAAATCACAACAAATCAATCTCTACTAGTCAATGGATTCTCATTTATAACCGCGTTTTGTTTGTTCCGTTCTGTACGTGGCTGTATTACATCCAAACTTCCGGAAATCCTAAATAATCTCTCGAACTCCAGGATGACAGTTAAACTGTCCTAACTTTCACTGGCCACCGCACAGTGTTCGCTCTAGATAAACTTATTTAATTAGTATGGCGGATCTGTTATTGCTTTTACAAGCTGCCAACAAAATTTCCGGAGCCCCGCTCATGACATAACGATAGAAATGATATGTATCGCGGCCTCCTTTTAATATATGATGGGAATGGATTACAGTATAGTCTCCCTGTATCCGCTGTATCAGCTGACCGCTCGGTTGTTTCACTCGGTCAGAAAAACAAAATATGTTACATGTGTAACATCGTAGTTTGTTCATAAATCCCTCGTCCTTTGATGGGTATTTAAAAGCATGATTTAAATTGTCCCGTTATCCTGAAATGCATGATTTTTTTCATTGCTCCATCATCTCATGCTACCCAGGTGAAATTCCCTTTAAATAAATAGGTAGTTGAATAAATGAATAAAAAACATTCTTGAGCAGATTTCATTATTTTAGGTTTCATAATGTTTATTGTAAAAACAGTGATAAAAGCAGTTAAATGATGATTCAAAAGATTTTAAATTAATATTTCAGTTTTATTTGTGTACAAACAAAATGTTTGACGTTTTAACACAAATGCGACAAATGCTCACAGATTTTGCATTTCTTAAGCAAGTATAATACACTTGCCCAAATAAAGGTCCCTGCAGAAAGCAGATGCTGTAAACAAATTCCCCGGGGACCATGAAAATTGTCAATACTTTCATGAGACTAGTGTAAAACTAGCAATGTTATTTCGTTAATAATGATTGTACATTATATGATGGTATATTACATCCCCCTATGCTTTTAACTTGGTCCATCATATACACTGCAAAACTTTGAACAGTATTTTGCTGTATCAGTCTTATGCAGTGTCATACTGTAAACTGCATTGCAATCTGGGAGAAAAAAAAATGTGATTACAGCACCTTAAGAGAAAGGCGTTGTGTACAGGAATTTGCTGTAAACTTTCCTATAAACAGCTGAGCATCTTGCGAAGGCGAAATAACAGTGTCTAGGTTTTAATAATTAACCGACACGTGAAGATCTTCACGAGAGCCTGACCAACCTGCCTTTTTTCATTCTCACAAAACTGCGTCGATAAGATTAAGGCAGCCTTCACTGAGTAACGTACGTCACCATTTTATACTACTTAAAAGCGTTAAAATGTTTAATTTCACTATTTAGAACAGTGATATAGCAAATNGGACTCTGGCTGCTCGTGAGATTGTCGCTGTCTCCAGAGTCCCTGCAGTCAACTGACACATGTCCATCGTCGTCTGAGCTAGAAGAGCCAGGAGTGCAGCCATGAGCAGAGAGTTCAGCTATGATACTGAGAAATTTAGAGCTCAAAAGAAATCTTGGCCCTACCTCTCCTTTGCTCTCGACTTCACACGTTTCACCCATGGAAACTTCCGTCCAAACTTGATAATCTTCTTCTGGGGTTTCTTCTTTGTAACTTGATCATCCGCCGCTCCTTCAGTAGCCGCGATGTCACGCTGCTATTTTACAGAAATCAGGATGCAGAAATGAGTCATTGAATACAGAGGCAGATATCAAGAAAGAAACATGTTGCTCAAGAACCGTGATCAAAAATCACCATCTCAACTGTGAGTGGAAAAAAAAGATCGTGATTTATATTTTATACAGAATCCTGCAGGCCTGCTACTCTTAACTTACACGAGGGGAACAAATAAAAATCTTAACGTTAGCCAATATTAAACTACAAATCTAAATGCCAAGGGTAGTCACAATGCATACAGGCCTACAGCTGCAGGCGCCCATGTTGTGTTAAATATGTTTCTCAACACCTTTCCACAAATTCGCCCTGTTTTATCCCACCGTTAACAACAAAATTTATCAGGTCATAAAATTTAAAGCGGGAGAAAAAAGGCATACCTTTTTCTTGGTCCAACAGCAAAGAAATCCGCACGAAAAGTTTATTTTGTGATGCGCCATTTATTTTACTTCTGAATGAAATTGATTCACAAGAAGTAAGTGAATTTCGAACGTAAATAAATTTAAATGTAATCGCGCTGGATCGCGCTCTCTGATTGGTCGATTCAGCATAACAGGTGTTTCTATCATAACTATACTGTAGTCTTAAGGTCAGCGAAGAAATAAAACCCAAAATGAAGATTTAAATGGCTGATTATATATGCTGCGAGTAAAAATATGCATTAACTACTGGTAAATCAAGCCATGAGCAACAATTATTTACAATCAATCACTTACAACGATAAAACTGGTATCCTATTAAGTCGTAAGTTTTGCATTGCTCTAAACACTGAAAAAGAGTTGTATGCATTTTCGTTTACTTTATATGGTAGTATACTCCTGTTGTTTTGGAGCAGGTTACTTAGAAAGTTTTATGTTGCTTTTTCACAAGATACAAATCGTCAGAGTGAGTTTACAGATATTGTAAGCAAAGTCATTTAATTGAAAAATCTTCAATCTTTTGGAAGAACAAAGCAAAGAAACGAAGTGTTGTATTGGTGATGTTTGCTTTTTGCACCTGAAATTACCTTTATTATTATTTTACCTTATTTTTCTTTTTTTGCACATTCTCGCTTTTCATTTAATTTTCCAAAATGTTTCATTGTGAACTTTGTAGTCATAACTGTGAAAGAAAACTTGCATTTGTGAGACATATGAAAATTCATAAGAATGTCCGAAACTTGACCTTCAAATGTGCTTTACCTGATTGCAACCGCATATTCTGAAAAATAAGAGTTTTAAATACACATCCCAGCAAACATGCAGATATTGGCCCCACTTGGGCAGGCTAAGGGCAACGTGGGCTAGGGCAACCTATTTAAATACCACAAGGGCCCCATGTGGGAGTTGCTAGTAGGGGCCCACATAAATATTACAGCAATGGCCCACAGTGGGTTAATTGAAGGCAGCTCGATTTCAGTCAAGAGTCAGGAGTTCCCTCATTGGCCCAGTGCTGGATTGGTAAAGTCAGCATTAAATAATTATAATTAATTAATTCATTCATTTCAGTTAAATTTTGTGTAGCAAAAAATATATATCCAAAATAGTCTTATTTTATTTTTAATATAATAATTTCTAATATAGTTTTCAAAACGCGCATGCGCGTTTACGTATCACATGCACTATAACGGTTTTTTTCCCCTCGCGCCACGGAGGTAGTTTTTGAGAGAATTTGTGATGGAGTTTTGGCGGGCAGGCGTGAATTACCAGAAGGTAATTTATAAAATTTTTTGACGCTGCTGTTGCTGTTTATTTGCTATTTACACCTATTTTAACATATTATTTATCTTAAAAAAAAAAAATTCTTGACGGTTTTGCGGACCACGTTTTAAAATTTCCTGTCAGAAAGTTATCAGATTAGATTGTTAGTTAATTTACGTCTCAGTACATAGTGGTGTGCAGCGGTTGTTATATCAATGTGTTCAGTTTGTTTTTTAAAGTAGGCCTATCAATTTTTCCATGTTCTCATAGGGGTGCTAGTTTAGCCTTTCGATTTAAGTTTTATAAAAACTGTTGTACGTCTTTGACTCCTCCCGCACGTCAATGCACCGGCTACTGCAATTTCAACTCTGTTCCATGAGCTTAACGTTTGGAACAAAATGGTAATTCTTTTGGCCACTGATGGTAAAAGCGGTATCAAACAGCCAGTTGTGAGAGAGGCTGCGTCCCCAGATCTGCAAGTATACTGACTCTCACCATTGCAAAAAAACGCTGAGCAGGGTATACTGCTGTACGTCTCAACTCTGTTGTTCTGCTCTGCTTTTGCCTATAAGATATTACTACCACAGGTTGAATTTCCTTAGATTCATTCAGATGGTTATTTACAGTATAGGGCTTGCAACTGATCGAATGCATTATTATGATTAAGCTTCTCACAGAATGGCAAATTCTATAAAAATGAATGGATGAATGTCTTTTATTGCCACTATACACATGTATAATGAGATTAAGAGCAGCACCTTCAGTGCAAACATGTACACACGACAAACAATAAACAAATAGTGCAAAAGCGTTATATACATTTGGAATAAATAAAAACGTCAATAAATAAAAAACGTCGCACAGTAAAGCCCTGTTTAGGTCAGTTTCCATATTTAGGTTCCTGTCATGTTACAAGGTATTGTGTATTTAAATTAATATGATTTTAGATGTTTTTAATTTGAAATTTTTTATTTGTTAATACACAATTAACTTTTTTGCATGAATTAATACAACACACATTAAACATGCAGACTCCTGAGCTGACGTTTTTCGTCTGGTTTGCTTTTTGATTTTGAAACTGAAGTTAGCGTTTGTGTTCTTTTTTAAATTTCTTTGACTAAAATTAAAATTCAAAAAACAAAAATTATACGGACATGCAAAACCTGACATTTCCTGGCAGTGTTATGCAGTTGAAATTGCCTATTCAACAGGTAAATTTTTGTGTGTCAGTGAATTAACCTTGACCATTTGTTCAAACCAATTTGTTAGTATACATTACCATTATATTGAGGCACATTGCTCACTCAGCTCCAAAGATATCGTCTGATTATTAAAAAGTTTTTGTATTTCATTCACTGATTGTATTTGTTTTTCTCTGCAGATTTTTTGTGTAGAAAGTTATGAGAAAGCCAGGAAAAAAGCCAAGGCAATTGAAGAGGACACTTAATTTTTCAGTGATCCAGAAAGACAGCTTGAAAGGGGAGATCATTGTAGAAGGTACAATAATTTTCCTACCCCATTTCATTGGTATGAATTAAGCACAGATTTCAAGCTTAGAATTTATGCACTATAGAATAGAAATTTATACTCTCTGGGGTTTATCTAATCCATTAGCATCTGTGTTTTTTGTGTATGTTGTCTAAAGATTGTAATTTTCTATTATGGCTGTACGATATGTCCAGACTCATGTAACATTTTAGGTAATTTCATATCTCGGTGATACATATGATATAGCACATTTTCTGTAGGTTCAGAGCATAGTTTATGTAAAATGATCACATGGATAGACTTATGTCTTGTTAACTCTCATTTGTCTAGTGTATCATTCAAATGTATCAAATAGCTTAAATGCATTACCACTAACTGTGATTTGCAACACAATGTAATAAATGACAGAATATTTTATAAAACAATTAGTATATTTCTGTCGTCACATATTCATTTTTCACAGGCCTATTTATAATTATATTATACACATTTTTTCAATAGACCAAACAAGAGATTGGAGGAGTTGGGCCATGGCTGTGGTAGTGTAGCTGTAAAAAAAAGACGTCCATCCCTACCCAAACCTCCTCCTCGTTCAGTCTTGACCTCTACTCCCGAACACACTTCATCCTCTTCTGAACAACCTCCTTCTTCTACTGCTGCATGTTCAGAGTCTCCTCAGCCGACGTTATTCAACCTCAGTGCTCATTACAGGTCTGGTTGCAAATTGTTTGTTACAAAGTAATCCCATACCATAATGCACAAGAGTACACACAGAAAAATAAAGGTGCTAACTGGAACCGAAAATGGTTCTTTAGAGTGATGCCATAGAAGAACCATTTTTGGTTCCATAAAGAACCTTTCAAACCAAGGTTCTTTAAAGAACCATTTCCTTAAATGTTCTTTAAGGAACCCACAAAAGTGCCACGAAGAACCATCAAAAATGGTTCTTCGGGGTACCTTTTCTGGTTCTTTGAAGAACTTAAAGGGAAAAAGGTTCTTTATAGAACCCTTCTCAAAAACGTTCTTTGTGGGCCCAGATGGTTCAATAAAGAACCCTTTTCAAATGGTTCTTTAGTTAAAAATGGTTCTTCTAATAATGTTATTATTTAACATTGCAATATTGTGTAAAGCCGAGAAAGAAATGCGAATAGAAGTTGATTTTCCATTTTATTTATTTAGAAACTGAACGAAAGTCCTAATATCATACAATGTGCTTTTTAAGAAATATTCAGGGCATTGGCAACTCTCTGCACAGCTATTGGTACACGTGTTGTTAAAGTGTCAAGCTTCAGAATAAACATCTCTAAAAATAAAAACATTTAAAGCTTAAAGTTTAAAGCTGACAGGGATATGCAATGTTGTAGACATGATAGAGGGCCAACAAAACAGCCATGGCCAAAGAAATGTCTGTCTCTCCATTGTCCGCTGTCATTTTGTGACCATCCATCATGACAGTAACATCTGTGCTGTCACTCAGGGGCTTGCCATCAATGCTGCTCAAGATGATCGTAGGTGTTGGGCTTATCGGTTCCTGAAACAAAACATTTGGGTCTTAAATCTGTATTCTGTAAACCTGTCATGTTTACAAATCATAATTACAAATCACAGCTTTCTCCTATGTTTAGTTGCATACAAAATCCCAGTTTGTTAACAACAAAATTACTTAATACATTAGATGTATTTTTTTGTGGGACATAGCAGTGGTATTTGTCCTGTAATTGAAAATGCACTTAATATCTAATTATTTCTAAATTCACATTTCCTATCTCGCAAAATAGCGGTATGGGCAACAATGGTCTCTAAAAAGAATTTGACTTTGGTAATATGGAACTTGTTTGGATTTTCCAAAACCGACACAATGCAAACAGAAATTTACAAAAAATAAGGTTCACCTAAATAATGTGTTTTTTTCTATTTAGATTTTGTTACCTTAGATGGCCAATTTTTTTATTGGGGAATTTGTTTGGTTGTACTGTTCAGTAACTTGCAAAAGTCTTAACTGACATAAAAAAGAATCATGATAAGATCATAGGTTGTGATCCTGCATGAAAAAAAAAAATGTGATGAAACCTTTCCCATGTTGCCCAAACCTACAGCATATATAAAAATCTAATATCAGGCAAAACATTGAAGTACACATTTCGCATTTTCAAAAGAACAAATTCAAGACTGTCCACCACAAGCACAAAATGACTAACCTTATCTATTACAAACAGCTGGGATGTGTTTTCCTTGAAGATGGATGGTAGGAGGAGTATAACTGCATTCACCAATTGGCCTGTAAATCACAAATAATTTAACAAAAATTCAGCAAAGTTTTGAAACACTCATACCAATCTGAAATGAATGTGGCTTAAAGACCTAAAACAGATTAAGTGAAATCTGAAATAAATAAGGGGAACTTCTTATCCTAATTACATGCTACCATCAAAAGGAAAACACTGGATATAAACCACAAATACTTGTAATACAATGTGGTAGAATTACCTAAAACAATTAATTATAATAGCTTCATGAGGCTTAATGACCTTAAAGTAAGGTGCAATGGGAAAAAATTGCATTATTTATTCTGCTGCTGTTGCTTATTATTTAACATGAAGCCCCGTTAACAACCACAGCGTCTGTACAGTTAACCCACATATGTTCTTCACTATCTAATTTAAGGTGTACTTGATCGTAAGACCATGAATTTGATTAACTTGACTTGGCACTTAGACAACAAAAGTAACAGTGGAAGGAGGGCTGATGACCTAATTAATAGGGTTAAACAGACTACCTTAGACTAGCAACAGTTCTTTCAGATACAATGAGAAATATTGTACTCTGGTAGATTTAACTATCCTCCTATCTGATTTAGTCTTTCAGTGTATTATAAGAGACTTGTGTAGCTTACCATTTCGTTCAGTATCAGTCTGGCTCTCATCAACAGACTGCAGGCAAAGCCTCTTCAGGTTGCTTTCAGGTGCCATGGACACAAGCTGGCTTGCCAGCTTATTGAACCCTTTGATGACCTGCTTGTCCACATCAATCTTAAGGAAGTGCTGATGCTTCTTCACACAGCTGAAACAAAACATGCAGTTTAAATGAATTAATGCTATTGGTGTTTTGAAGCAAATATGGGACAAATTATTTATTCTATTCAATGCAAAGTGCAGAATTACATATGTACTAAACTGATGCACATTAACATCTTAACTCACCAAGACTGGAATAGAAAAGAAGGGGAATTCTTGTAAGACCTCTGCAGTGGTGTGCTGTTGAATATAGTATCTTCTGTACCTTTGTACTCTGTGGAGGCACTGGCGAATGATGTCCAAATTGGGCCTCATCTTTTGGCACTCCTGCTTTATTGCTGCAATATGGTGGTTACAACTCCTTTGGTCCTTTATATATATTTGGTCCTTTATATATATTTGTAAAATTATAATTTAAATTATTTAAATGATACCAACAACCATTAAAATTATCAGTTATAGTCACCCATCAAACTCAGTGGTAGGGCTCTAAACAAAACCTAATTGGTTACATTGCAAACTATAGTCACAACAGATCGTTCTCACCTAATCAATTTAATTCTTATTTATAGCCAAGGTTTGTCTGTTCCGTCCTGGGGACGTATTGCACTAATTTACTAATTTGCAGATCTTAACCGTTTGCTAACAATGGTGTTTCGGGTGACCAAATAATCCATGTCATCCCAGACACTTTGAGCTTGAACAGGATTTGTAAACTACTATTTCAATTAAAAGGACCTGGATTTCACTTGAGCGCTGAATTCTTGCTGAGTCTCCTGTAACCATGCATGTGTTAGCTACTTAATGTTAATGTGAAACAGGCTGGATAAGTCTTTCAATCAAGGAAACAAACCAGTTAAGCACAAGAAGAAATGAACTAATTAGTCGAGCACAGGAGCTTTTCGGTTTTAAAGCAGTTTGGAAAAACCCGAAGTTTGCGTCCGGGATAGGCTCTGGATCCCCCGCGACCCTGTATAGGATAAGCGGTTTCAGATGATGGATGGATGGATAACCCGAAGTAGCTCTAAGTGTCCGGGATGATATGGATTATCACCCTAATAGTATTTATTTTAAATAAAAATCCTTCAGTAAACAACCGTCACAGCAATTGAGCGTTTAAAGCAGAAAACCCTGAATCATGGAATAAATTTCCTCCATACGATTGGCCACAGACCCTCACATAAAATAAAATAAAAAAACTTCAACTACTTTGAAGTTCTTATTGGTAGTCATACGGGAAAAAAAACTCCCTATCGTCAAATTAGTAAAATCGTTCGGAATGTCAAAAAATTACTCGTGGGACTTTTTTTTAATCCGATCCTCATAGTTCATTTTAAATTGCCTTCTGATGGTTAAATTATTCCAAAACATTTTTCCCCATTTAAAAAATTACCTTACTGCTCTTGTACTGTAACTGCTCCCGATCGTCTTCTGAGAAAAAACCTCGTAACCCCCTCGCACGAGCCGCACTCTACCAGGACTCGTCAGCCGCATGCGCATGCGCAGGTTGTGGAAGCCACAAAACCATAGGGATTTTACTCTGATATTTCGGACAAAAATTAAAATTAAAAATGTATTTTAAGAAAACAATTACAACGACACTAAAAGTATCATACTGAATTATACATGGGATTCTCAAGTAGCAAGACTACAATAGTATTTTCTTGTAAAATGTACTTTCATGATCTTCGTTGTATTTACAAATTCAGAAAAATCTTCATCTTCTCCTTTTCAGTGCAGCTTATGGAGAGGGACAATTATTTTGCAAATTTATACCCCCACCATCACCACCATCCAATAACTCAAATAAGAATTAAGAACCCTTCAATATCCCAAAGAACCATATGACTAACACGTAGAACCATCCACTACATAAAATGGTTCTTTAGTAGGTTATGGTTCTTTATGGAACCACACAGACTTCTAAAGAACCATTATTTTTCTGTGTGTACTTGTGCAGGCCTGGTCACCAGACGCTCGCCATCGAACCCCACCCCCTAGGCTCCTGCGTCCTGGCGAGGGAAAACGTGAATCAATGTTTTTACTCATCATAAGGGGTCTGGTGAGCCGCACTTCGTCTGGTTCCTCACCCAGGACCTGTTTGCCTTGGGTGACCCTACCAGTAGCTTAAAGCCCTGGGCAACTTAGCTCCTGGGATCATTGTAACACGCAAACCCCTCCACCACGATAAGGTTTCTGGTCCAGGAGAGGTTGCACCAGGAGAGGTTGCAGGAACTGGTAAGGAAATAATTTGTATCATCATTTTTTCTGTTAGTCTTTATGCCTGTAATGTTGCAGGCCTGACTCACATATACACAATGATTAACCTTCCACTCATATTTTTTTTAATGAATGCAGGCAAAGTTGTTAGTACAGTTTGACTGAGTTAAAAAGTGACAAAAAGTTAAGTGAAGTAAGACTACTAAAATCCCTCTTTATAAATGTATCAACCTTTGCAGACTGTCTACCTGGGAACTGTTGGAGGTGGAGATGTAGCATGTACAACCAGGCGTGTGATGTCGGCTCTCATGACCAATGAGCTACCTATACAGTTAAACTGGATGGGCCATGGAGAATAAACAAAGCTTTTGAAGCCTAAAACTTCAAAAAAAGTTGTCTGCGGTAAGATTAAGAGCCTCAGCTTGTTAATTTACACTGGCCAGAAAATTTTCATTTGTACTTCAGCTTTTGATGAACAAGAAATTTCTTTCTCAGTTGCAAACTATATGTTTGCCCACAATGTGTCAGCTCACATTGGGCCCATATTGACCCAGTGCCAGTTTGTTTGCTGGGATGTGTACAGAGATCACCCATCTAAAGGCCACATGGCATCATATCATCTTGGCTTTTCAGGTTCAATGACAGAGACGAACCAGCGATGGATNTGGGATGTGTACAGAGATCACCCATCTAAAGGCCACATGGCATCATATCATCTTGGCTTTTCAGGTTCAATGACAGAGACGAACCAGCGATGGATGGTGAGCATCGAAAAATCGGTGCTGTGTGAAGGAACGTCCTTTGTGCTTGGACTTGTTGGAGTCTTCTCCTCCTACAATTTCAACCTTCAGTACCCACATGATGCAGCATGCACACTGGAGTTCATTCAGAGGTAGGAGCGTTCCATACATATTGCTTCACACCAATTGACTTACCTAGTACAGTGTTTCCCAGCTCTGGTTCTTGCGACCCAAGGCTCAGCACAGATTCAGGTTTTATCAGCCACTGCACAACTGAAGCAAATTATTATCCGATTAACATTGTAGGATCAGGATGTGCTGGGACAGGAAATAGCCAAAACCGTGCAGATCATTGGGTTGTGAGAAACGTTGATCTTGCGAAAACCACTGGTGCCTCTCACACAAGAACAGCAACTACAAAAATGAGTGCTGCTTCTACTAATGTTATGGTTTATACTGTTATCTTTCCATCACATATTCTTTTTAACTTGATAATTGGTGTGAATTGATACATACCTACTTTGTGAATTGTATGATTGTCAGTCATGATGCCTGATGCGTCACATTCATAGATTGATGTCACATAAAAGATCGTTTTGTTCAACACTGTATTCAGAACCTGCATGGACATTAATCCTGAGATGGGCACTAAAGCAAACCATGAGAAAAGTGCAGAGCAACAATTATTTACACTCAATCATTTACAGTGATAAAACTGGTATCCTATTAAGTTGTACGTTTTGCATTGCTCTAAACACTGAAAAAGAGTTGCATACATTTTCGTTTAATTTCTACGGTAAGATATTCTTGTTGTTTTGGAGCAGATTACTTAGAAAGTTTTATGTTCCTTTTTTACAAGACATAAATTGTCAGAGTAAGTTTACAGATATTGTAAGCAAAATCATTTAATTGAAAAATCTTCAATCTTTTGAAAGAACAAAGTAAAGAAACAGTGTTGTACTGGTGATGTTTTTATTTTAATAAATACAGTGGTACTTCGGTTTTCGAACTCACTAGAACTCGAATTTCTTGAAAGTCGAACAAACCAGTTTGACCTGGAAATCGATATGAATATCATAAGTCGAACCGTGAACGCTGACCTAATATAAATTGTATGTGCCAGGAAATGAGTCATACTATAATGCAATTCTTACTTGAATGCCTTCTTCACAGACTGGATGATTAACCAAATAAAGCAGCGCAACATTACAGTAACTAACAATAAATAAACCACTAACTTACATGTGCTATTAGAGCATTTATGT